ATTGGAGCCAGAGTACTTTGATCATCTATCACTGAACATTCTGGGAATACTGAGGTCTGACTGGAAGGTTTGGTGGAGTCAGTGTTGCTGCTTTTCTAGTACATACTTATAATGTCATCAAGAATGATGCTACAGGCTTTCCTTAAAAATCACAGAATCTAAGTGTTGAAAGGGACCTCAGTTCATCTCAATACTTCCCAAAAGAATCCCCAGTACAATATATCAGACAAGTGTTCATCCAGCCTCTGTTAGAAGGCTGCCAATGTGAAGGAAACCATTACCTCCCAAGGCATTCCTTACAGTTTATGGGCAGCTTTAATTGTTAGGAAAAATTTCTTGATATCAAGCTTATATTTTCCTCTTTTCATAAGTCTACCCATAGCTCTTGGTTCTTTTCACTCTTCACTTTTCTCATTTTCCTATTCTAATTGGTATTGTTTCTTACTTTTTAAAGACTAGTCTCATGATGGACCAGATGAATGCCCATAGACCTCTAAGGAGTATTTGGAAAGTGACCTAGGGTAGAGCTAGACTTCTCTCCAGTTTCTCCAAACTTCAACAGATGTCACCCAATTTTAATAGGCAGAAGAACAATTCTGTGTCATGATGGGAGCAGGATATTTCTGTGGTCACTTGAGTTCAAGAGAGTAGAGAGCAAAGATCAAGGCTAATTTTGGTTTTCAGGTGTCAGAATAGTGTAAATGTGGAAGAGGTTTAATTGCAACCCCACCTCTAGTGACTCCATTTCTTCTAAACTTCATGATTATCCACTCTAGAACCTCTTAGTACATAAGGATCTCTTTATCCTTCCCCAAATTTCTTTGTCTTTATTTGTTTTTTGGGTAGGTATTCCATCTTCTCTTTTTGGACCTGGTTAGAGCTGTGTTATTATTACTTTTCTCATTGTTATTGGTAGGGTGCTTTACCAAGGAAAAGGAAGATGCTAAGTGGGGCAAGGCCTGAAACTCCTCCTTCCAGGAGCAGAAACTCCCCATACCAGGATAGTAAATAGATGGTTGCCAACTTTTTGCTTAGATTTTTTTCCAGATACAATGTTTGAGAAATCTGTCTCCATATAAGATGCAGAGGAGTGTTTGAAAAGATTTTATGATTCAGTGTTAAATCATTTTGCAGATGTTTATGCTTTGTTGTTTTATGAAACATGTATGAAGATGCTGCTTGGATAGATGTTTACTGGTGATTTAGTAGTTAATTCGGTCTAGGAGTCACTGTTTTCTAAAATTCCATTTCTCTGACTCTGAGATACTGATGCTAGGCAATATACACAAAACAGATCAAAAAGAGAAAGAAGAGTTCCATATACATCAAAATAATCATAGTAGTACTTTTTGTAATAACAAAGTACTGGAAATAGGGTAATGTCCACTGATTAGGAAATGGCTAAAGCAGATACATAAATGCAATGAATATTATTGCTATGGCATAAAAAATAAAGAAAATTATCAGTTTAAAAAAAATTAAAGCACATAGGTTTTTTTTCAATTGCAAATTCTCTTCTTCTTCCTCCCTCCGCCATACCAGAAGTCAAGAAAAACAAAACCTAATACAAACATGTATAGTTATGTAAAACAAATTTCCAGATTAGCCATGAATATGATCACTTCAAAGAGGCATAGGAAGACTTAAAGAAACTGATGCAGAGGGAAGTAAACAGAGCTAGGAAAATAATATACAAGATTACTAAAACCATATGAATGTTAAGAAAAAGTAATTAAAAAATTAAATCAAATGTATCATAATCATAATGGCTAAATATGGCCCCAGAAAAGAGATGGGAAACTGTACCTCTCTCTCTTTTTCAAGTGTGGGATTATGGGTGTGAAACATTGTACAGTCAGACTTGGTTAAATTGCTTAGTTTTGCTGAATTGCTTCCCCCTTCCCCCTTTTTTTTATTCTTTGTTACAAGGGAAGGATTACTCACTCTACAGGGAAGGTGGGAGAGTATATTGAGAAATGAAGTTAATGTAAAAACAAAAGATATAGATAAAATTTTAATTTTTTTGAAAATAGTAATAAAGTAACAAAGAAGATTGTGTTCCCTTCTTAGGAAGATGTTCTATGTGCAGAAGTCCTTGGAGAAAAAGAATTCATAGTTTCTCTAAAATTGACACTTTAATTTTTACAAAACTTGGATTGAAAGAAAGAGTTCACCTGACTTATCCTCTTGTCTGGCTAGCACAAGGAGATTAATTGTGAAAGATTATGTAGATTGTTTAAATAAGTATATGAGAAGAATCTTCCTTTTCATATGGGAAATCAACGCATATCTAAAGTCATTTTGCTTCCTAAACTTTTAAGAATGAGAAGGGTATTTAAATTCTCATTTACTTTTATAGATATGATTTTATATAATAAAATTTCCTAGGCTGAAAATTATAATGTAATGGAAATTGGACCTTGATATTCTAATTTGGTCTATTTTTACTCTGAATTTGAATTTATAGCAATGACATAATTAGATGAACTCTGGTAGGAGAGAATCCCACTATGGAAAAGTGATACACAATGAATTTGTTATTTTTCTGTACAAATTCACCATAGGTTACTGAACTAGAGAACCTGAGGACTCATGTTGAATAATTTGAACAATTACTTTTATATTCCAATTGAACTTTGAAAAAATTTGAAAATAAGAAGAGACAATACTTGCTTTTAGGAGAAAATTTGTTTTATTTCAATAAATTAAAATATTACAATGTGGAAAGGGGGACTAAAATGCATGGAGCTAAGAGAAGAGTGAACTTAGTGAGAATGGTGACACACACACCCTTCTTTATTTATCAGCAGCTTCATTTGCCTTGCAAGCCAAGGATAGTAATTTTCAGATGCTATTTGTAATGAAGCACTTTTTATGCCTAGGAGCTTCTCCTATGAAAAACTGAGGTAACTTACTCATCTCCAGAATGGTTTTCAGAAGGCTTTACCTTCTGATGCTGTTACGCTTTGTTATGAGACTAGTGTTTGAATCTTACCTTTGATACTTGCTAATTATGTGACTATATCCGGGTCCTCATTAGGTGATGAAAAGAATACCAGCTCTGGAGTCAGAGGATATAGATTCAAATCGCACTTCTGATGGTGGTTACTTGTATGAATGTGGGAAGGTCACTTCTCCTCCCCTCCCCAGTTTCTTCCGCAAAATGAGAGGACTGGACTATATGGTCTCCAAGGGCTCTCACAGCTCTAGATCTATGATCCCATGAACTATAAAATTATGACAAGTGCACCAATTTTTCCTACCTTATAGGGTTGTTGTGAAAATCCAGTGAAATAATGTGTGAAGTCTTTTGCATGCCTTGATTAATGTCAGCTATTATTGCTGTTATTTTATTACAAAGAGCCACTGTAATTTTTATTATGTTAGCATGGTTAAGATTTGCTTTAAGTCCTTCTACCTACTATCATTTTTACTTGCAATTGATATTAATTTGTCTCATATTAAAGTATAGTCTGATAAGAATTATAGTAATGATGTCAAATGTCATATATAGACAAGAAGTAAAGCTGGAAATGACTTATCAACAGTTAGTAGTTATTAAACCCATTGTGCACTTGCCAATATTAATGGAAAGAAGATAATTAGCAAGCTACATAATATTTATGCAGATACTTTGATGTTTTGCAATGAGTATAAATGCTAGAACTTACTGTGTAGGATGGAATCCAATGGGACTGTAGTGGTTCTTAATATGTGTTTATGATCCTGTTTTGAGCCTAGTTTTATATATTTCCTTGAGCAGCCCTCTTTTAATAGTCTCAATAAATTAGAAGACCAAATTGGTTCTAAAAGTTATTATTGACATGATAGGCATGCTGAAGAATTAGGAGCTTGCCAATAAGGGCAGAATACTAGCAAGCTGCCTGCTAGAGTGTTTATGAGTAGCATAATGAAGCCATAATAATGGTTCTGAGTAGTACAGCTGAATAATGAATCAGTCTCAGGTGGATATATACAAGAAATGGGAAAAATTGGAGAAGCAGAAGCCTAAGTGGTGGCTGGACTCTTCTAAAGCTCCACATTATGAAGGGTGGCCTCTACTTGGTTGACTACAGGCCTGTCTGTTATCTCCTTTGGGTAGTATGAAGAAGCAGCATCGGAGTTGGGTCTTTTGTTGGAAGACTTGGTTTTAAATTTTGCCTCAATCATGAAACATTTACATGACCTCAGGTAAATCTCTTAACCTACATAGGCCTCAGTCTCTTCCTGTGCAAAATGAGGGGGATAAACTAGATGGTTTCTAAGGACCTTTCCAGCTCTAATTCTTTAATCCCATGATAAGACATTGAATGAATTTACAACTCTGGGGATAACTGTAACCCAGGATCAAAGTAGGAATAAAGTCTTAGTGTGTGGCATGTACAAGAGATCCTACTAGGACCTCCAAGGCTGTCCATATATGGAGGAAGAAGCACCCCCAGGATCCTCATGTCAAGTTGATAGTGGCATTCCCTTCATCCTTTCAAGGCTTTTGAAGTATGTCTTACCATGAGTTGATACTTTTGTGAGCTATGGCTTTGCCTTGTCTGGCCTCTACTATTGAGAGCCTTGAACATAATGCAAGGTTGCATTGAGGATCACCTCAAATCAAGGCAAGCATTTTAAATTTTTCATTGTTCAGAACTATTTCTCTACAGATGTCTATTTTTTTTTTTTTTGCGAAAACCTCCTAGTCCCTGAGGAAACGGCAGAAATTCATTTGTTCTCGTTCTTTCTCTTTTTTGGGGGGGAAATAAAAGGACTTGCTCCCATAAGCAATGTAGATAGTTCCTTAATGAAATAAATGAGATCTGACTTCTTTGTCCTTTTGTTTCTGCCGATTCTTTATTTCAAGTCTGTGGTAATTTAAAATAGGTTTAAAAACATATTGGAACAGGTAAAACTTGTTCAAGAGCTCAGAATTGAGAAAGCTTCTAACATAGGGAATAGTTTGATACTTGCAGAAAATCAATCTGCTTTTATTTGCTCCTTCCTTATAGGATCATGGTCACACACAAGTGTCTCCATATCGCCAGGATCACTCCTTAATCATGAGGTCTATTGTCCATATGACGGATGCTGCTCGTTCTGGGATTATGCCTGCTGCCCAGCTCACAACCATTAACCAATCTCAGCTCAGTGCCCAGCTGGGATTAAATTTAGGGGGTGCCACTATGCCTCACACATCTCCTTCACCTCCTGCAAGCAAATCAGCAACTCCTTCCCCTTCAAGCTCTATCAATGAAGAAGATGCAGATGAGTCAAACAGAGTAAGTCCAGCATTATCATCTTGGTTACTATTTATCATTTAACTGGACAGTATTCAATCTGCATTACTGATCATCTGTCCATGGTCTTCATAGAAAATGTGAAAGTATTCCATGAGTATCTTTGTATCCATTCTTGATGTTACCCTGTGGAACTGTATATTGTCTATTGTGGAGAGGTTAATACCGATAAGGGACCAATGGATTTAGAAAGGTATATGAATTTGTAGTTGCTATTTTTTTTTAATTTTGGAGGAAAAACATCCCTGGATTGGGAATCAGGAAACCCTGGTTTCATTCTTGGCACTGGCATTAACTAGTTATGAGATTTTGATGTCTCTGGGCCTTAGTTTTCCCAAATATGAAATGAAAAACTTGTTTTAGATAACATTTAAGGGCAGCTAGGTGGCACAGTGGGTAGAGTGTCAGATCTGGAGTCAAAGAGATTCATCTTCATGAGTTCTAATCCAGCCTTAGACACTTACTAGCTGTGTGACCATGGGCAAGTCACTTAACCTTGTTTGCCTCATTTTCCTCATCTGTAAAATGAGCTCGAAAAGGACATAGTAAAATATTCCATTGTCTTTGCCAAGAAAAACCTAAATGGGGTCACAAAGAGTTGGATACAACTGAAAAATGACTGAACGACGACAGATAACCTTTAAAGTTCCTTTCAGTTCTAGGAATATCTGAATCTATTTTTTTTTTAACCAATATGAGCATTTGAAAGACTAAACAATGCATTTGAAAATAATGTGTTGTTTTTTGGCTATTTATCACTTAGTAAGCATTTTTATACCTTTGTTCTTACTTTGTGAATATCACTTATACAACATGTCCCAAAAGCCTTAATGAAGTTTAGCTTAGTTTTAAGCTATTAAAGCTTAACACTGCACAAGCTTTGGGACACCTTGTATTTGTTCTGTAGCGCTATATAGACATAAATAACACTTTCCTTTTAAAAATGGATACCTTATATTTTTTACATCACCTGCATTTCCCAACCTAACTATCCTTCCTTCTACTCCTATCATTTAAGCCTGATGGCTTAAAACAACCACAAAACAACAACAAATTTAAAGAAGGAAATAAACAGGTAAGCAAAACCAACCAACACATCAAGCAAACTTGACATTAGCTGTAGTGCTCCACAACTGAGGTCAAACACCTCTTATTTGGGATCTAGTTTGTTGAATGACACATTGAAAGAATAAATGAGTAAAAAAAAAAACACTTATTAAGTACTTGTTGTGTACCAAGCACTGTGTTAAACCCCGGGGACTGAAATACAAAAGTAAAAGTAACCCCTGTTCTCTTTTTCTTTTTTTTGCTAGGCAATGGGGTTAAGTGACTTGCCCAGAGTCACACAGCTAGTAAGTGTCAAGTGTCTGAGGCCAGATTTGAACTCAGGTCCTCCTGACTCCAGGGCCGGTGCTCTATCTACTGCGCCAGCTAGCTGCCCCCAACCCCTGCTCTCAAGGAGTGCGATTCTAATGGGGTAGATAGCACATACAGGGAAATGATGGAAGTATTTTGTTTTGAAAAGTCATGGAGATAGTGAGTAGAACCTTAAAGGAGTAAATGGACATGCCTTTTCTAGCAGCAATGGTAGTATTAATTTCAATATGGTTCCAAAATTGGAAATCAGAATGTGTGTTTTAGGGAGTTAGAGGGTGGGTGGTAGAGGGTACATATAGTGGCTAGCAGAGCAGCTTAAGATAAGATTGCCGGGGCATGAGGTGAAGCATGGCTGGAGCCATATAGATAGAGTGAGTTGCATGTGACATTCACCAATCAGGTCAGCAAGTTTGCAGGTCTGGAGTTCCAGATCTGAAAAGGGGAAGTCTTTCAGGGATGTCCTCTGGTCCTAAGGTCCTCAGGGTTATCACACATATAAATTACCAAAGATTATCAACATTCATCTGTTTAATTTTTAAACAATCAAATATTATTGTCACATCTGGGCCATGTTTCCAATAGCTTGGAGAGGATACTAGGGGACAACATGAGGAGAAACAAAGGACTTCAGAAGTTTATTTCTGTCTTTAAGAAAAGAAAAGGAGTTAAGTTATTTTAAGGGGGACATACACAGCATAGGAGCTGCTGTTATAATATGAGGATGCCATTGTAGCTATAGCCCAACTCATATAAAGATTGGGCTTGTCTGGGAATAATTTCATGATGAGTGCATGCATCTTTAGCTGGTTTCTTATCACAGTATTGGAACTCTCATAAAAAAGTTAATGCTACTTTGTCTCTTTAGGAATTTTAGTAATTGGGAAATATTACAGATGATTTTTATTCAGAAGATAATGGTTCTCTGGGAAGATCTGAAATGTAGTGAACTGAATGGCTGGTGGTGGAGATCTAAGACAGCATCTTTAATCTCTGATCCAGTACTGACCTCAGCTAGAGTTAATTTTTATTTTACCAAAATTTGACTTTTTACGAAGTTTCTACCAGGCTTTTACAGATCTTCAGTGCAGCTAATGGAATCAGTAGGAGAGGAAGCATAGTTTAGTGGATAAAACACAGGCGATAAAAAGCTGCCCCCCCCACCTTCTGACAGCGACATTATATGAATAAATGAAATGAAATCATATGCAAAAGACTTTGAGGCATGTGAAGTATGTGGATTTGGCAAGGGTTGTTATATTAATTTAAGGTGTTTATAATGCTTTAATAAGTGCCTTTGAAATTTTTAAAAATTCACACTATGGGGATGAAGATGAGTAGAGAAAATGAACTGTTATTGAAAATTTTGATAGTAGAATTCATATTCTAGGGTTCACTTATCACATAATAAGTATCTTTAGCATTTTTAAAAAATTTAAATGTCAACTATTACTTTTTTATAGGTTTTTAATTTTAGAAAGAATATCAGTTCTCTTTCTTGCTATACCTAAGGTACTTTTGACATTTTTACGTTACTTGCTATATTCTTAAAAAGTTAACATTTTTCTAGAAATAGAAGATGACCTTTAACTCATAGTGAAAGTTTTAGTCATTGTAGCTAATATCCACTTAGATTTAGAGAGGCCTATTGGCAAAGTGACATTCTCATGAAATCAGCCTCAACAATCACATTTCTAAACTGTTCATACACACTAATGATGAGCTGTTTAAAATATTGAAAGATGGTCAGTATTTTACAGATCATTAAACTTTTGCTGCTAAAGCCTAACATTAGCAAAACAGACTATGCATCCATATGTTGTATAGTATGTGCATAATACCATATAGGACATTGGATACATTTTATTGTGATGGCTCTTGAGTATATGTATTACAAATTTGAATCTCATTTAAAAGTGTTGACACTTTTAGATAGCAGTTTAGCAGTTGTAGATAAACATTTTCCCTTTTGTTCATGGTGGCTCATCTGTTGATGATTTAATGGAACCTAAAAAGGACAATTGTAGGCCTAAATCTTGCTGCAATCCGTGTGGATATATTTTAAGCAATAATTTTTTTTTAATGCTTTGTAGGCCATTGGAGAGAAAAGAGCTGCTCCAGATTCTGGCAAGAAGCCCAAAACTCCAAAGAAAAAGAAAAAGAAAGATCCCAATGAGCCACAGAAACCAGTGTCAGCATATGCCCTATTCTTCAGAGACACCCAAGCTGCAATTAAAGGTCAAAACCCCAATGCAACCTTTGGAGAGGTCTCAAAAATAGTAGCATCAATGTGGGACAGCCTGGGTGAAGAACAAAAGCAGGTAATGAAGGCTATCCCATGGAAATGAATTAAATCTACCAACATGAGTCCATATTTACATCTTGCTTTATGTGTACGTGTAATAGAATACAAAGCCCTTGCCTGTAATAGCACTGCAGGGTGAATGGCATATTTGACAGAGTTGTTATCTTTCCAAGTAAACAATTTATGATAATATGGTTGTGTCTTATAATAGCCTTTGTGTGGGAGAGGGAAAATCATCCTACTGTTCTCTGAGTATTATAGATTTTTTTTTTATTAGCTTCAAGAATGAATGCTCAGAAGTCAATGAAGGTAAGAGTGGAAGAGATCTTCAGTGGCCCACAAGCATCAACTTTTGATAATAACCTTTTTCTTTTTAAATAATGTGAGTTTTTTTCTTCATTGAAAGTTACACTAGAAAAAGCTTAGGTACATCATGCTTGCCTTTTCATTGATCATTTTTCTGAACCTTTGTACTGCCCTGGTTGGTTTCCAAACTTTGAAGCTCACTCTGCATGCCTCATTATAGTAGCCAAGCATTTGAAATTTTATTCCAAGTTCATTTTAGAGCTCCACTGTCTGGTAGGCTTTCAGAGATTAACTATGCTGGTAGGAAATACTTCCTTAGGGCTTTATTCTCCCCTTCATGACCATGTACCTCCTATGCACCAACAGAGGAATGAATGAAGTCCTTGGATGTCTGTCCTCCCCTTACTACATGCATGAAATGCCACTTACCATTAATAGGAGTTAATGCTTACATATTGACAGAAGAATAGATCCGTATTAGGAATAAAGTGGAATCATTGTTTCTGAAGAGTGGAAAACTCTTGATTTTATTTAAAAAACATAAATGTAATTTGTAAAAGTTGTTTGGTTAGGACAGTGAAGACTGATGGAGAATTTTTACCAGTTAGCCAAAATAAAAAGTAATTTCCATAGATTATTGGTTCTTGTTCCTAGAATCATAAACAAATCCCAAAAGGCTTTCGAACTACTGCATCTAACAGACAATTTGGTTAGGAGTGCAATGCTATTTTTACCTAATACAAGGATTCTAGAGTAAATATTAACATTTTGATTTCCTGAAGTGTAGGTACATTGAATATTATGGATTTTTATATGCATAGCTCAATAGCCACACTCATGAAACATCACTTCATTCCCCCCCTCCCAATTTCTTCAAATCCTATTTAAAATCCTTTCCAAAGAAAACCAAGATTGAAATTGCCTCATATATTTTTTCATTTTCTTTCATTCATTTCATTCATTTTTTTATGTTCAGTTTACAATATTATTTGGAGCAGGTAAAAGAGCTCTTTGAAAACAAGTATAAAGAGAAGAAAAATATTGATGAGGAAAAATAGGTAGTGAAATTATTTGTAGTAATCTGTATTTTTATTTGATTTATTACCTTGGAAAACTAGTGGAGTTGAACTAGAAAAGACAGCAATTTGGACAAAATTTGTATGGATGTATATATGTGTATATATATATATATATATATATATATATATATATTATATATAATCTAACCTGTAGTTAGAAACTTGAAAATCTTTTCTCCTTTTGCAATAGTGGAGAGTATATCCATGTTTAATTAGGCTGTCTTTTCTAACATTTTAAAATCAAAGCCACAGAAGCAGGCCCTTTGTGTGCTTTTTATTGTGACCTAATTTTCTTATTTTTAGTGCAGAATTGAGATGCTAAAGGTGATATTCATTGTCATGTTTTAATAGGTATATAAAAGAAAAACTGAGGCTGCCAAGAAAGAATACCTAAAGGCACTTGCTGCTTATCGAGCAAGTCTTGTTTCCAAGGTAAGGCTGCTGACTTGAATCAGATATTGGCTCAAGTTAAGAAATGATTATTTTAAATATTTAGTCATAACACTCAAAGCTATTCTCTAGTATCTTACATTTAAATGGGACTCCCCTAAGATTTGATAAAGTAACCACAACAGACTCAAGTCATATATGTGTGTGTATGTATATCTATCTATATCTATATCGATATATACATATATCGATATAGATATAGATAGATAGATAGATATGAAGTCACAGCTTTACAATAATAGAGCTATAATGTAAACAAATTGAAAATTCCTGAATTCAATTAATCAATCCTATTCTGTCCCAAGCTCTGTGCTAGGCACTAAAGATGGAAAGATAAAAGTGAAGAGAGACTCTGTCCCTGAGGAACTTATATTTGACATTTATAAGGCCAACTACATGAATAGTACAAGACTGCTGATTTTAAAGAACTGACTTTGAAACAGAATAATAATATATATATGATAATTGAATATTTTTGAATATTCAGTTGAATAATTGGAAGTCACACTGATGAACATAACATAAATGTGTACATATGTACATAAATGTATATCTATATAGACACCTACATCTATGCCTACAAGTACATAAATACACGTGTACATATTTTATTTATATATGTATGAATATATGCTCAAGTTCAAAAAATTACTTTAGAAAAATGACTACTTGGAAATATTTTCTTTCTGTCAAAAGGAAACAAAATACACTTGCCAAAGCAATGGGAAGACTGAATCCATGTAAAGACCCTCATTTTTAACTACAAAGTATCCAAGTACAGTCAGGCTCCGTTTCCTGGAAATGGTATCATAAAGCAGATCAACACGAAGTGGATTGTAATTTCCCATAGGAGCAATGTTATTAATTTGGGATTGTGCTCCTGACCAAGGACTTGACACCAAATAAATCATAAATATGACCCACAACATGTCATAAAAGCAAAGATAAAACAATGATGAACTACCATAATAATAGCTCACATTTGTATAGCACTTTATGATTCACAAAGCACTTTCCTCAAAACAACCTTCTGAGTTTGCTAGGGTGAGAACTATTATCCCCGTTTTACAGATGAGGAAACTGATACTCAGAGGTCAGCGACTTGGCTATAGTCTTACTGTTATTAAATGTCAGAGGTAGGATTTGACCCCAGGGCTTCTGACCCTAACTCAAGTGGTCTTTTTGCTAAATTATACTGCTTCTACAATTATTAAAAAATACGAAAATGTTGCACAAGGGTGCTGCAAAATGGTCACAAATGTGCTCCTTCTTTTGTATGTATAAAAAGATCCAATAGACTATAAAGTATTGTGTGTTTATATATGTCTTTTTTCTTTATCCTAGCCTTATGATATCATGTATGTAAGTAACTTGTACTGTGGAAACTCTACATAGCTGCAGATTAGCAACTCCAATGTAATTTATAATCTCATCCAGTTGCCTACAGTAGTAAGAGGTCAAATGACTTGTCCAGGGTCACATTGCTGATACGTGGTAGATAGGACTTGAACTTTGGTTTTACTGAATTCAGGGACATTCAGCCTTCCAAACTACTACACTCTGTTCTCTGTCTTTGTCTCTCTCCCCCTTCCCTCCTCTCCCTCTTTCTTTTTCCTTCTCCCTCTGCCTTCCCCCTTGCTCTCCCCTTCTGCCTCTCTCCCTCCACTTTCTCAGTCTCCCACCTCATTTTTTTGTACTTAACCTGTGATTTCCTTGTTATTGGTAATTCTTAATTATCAAATTTCCTCCACCAATGCAAGTTGGCAACTGCTCTGAAACTTATAATCTTAGAGAGTCTCTTGGGGCACTGGAAAGTCAATTCCTTTGCCCAAGATCACATAGCCAATATGTGTCCAAGATCAGGCTTGAACCCAGGTACTCCTGATATCAAGGCCATCTCTTAATCTGTTGTGTTATGGTGTCTCTCTGGCATAAATGACATTACAATGATCATGAATCATAAATTTGACCTAAAGCTTAAATGTTAACTATAACATTTATTAAAGATTTAGTTAATAATAATTTGGATGCTTTGTTAGAATTTGGAAGAGGTTAGGGATAATGATTTAGCTGGCTTAGGTCTCTTAAAAAGATTTCTAATTAAGTTTCATCTAGTGCTTTATTTCTTTTGAATAATTTTCCTTAGCAAAAGATTCTGAATCATTCTATTGACCTTAGAAACTGCCTCAAAGTACTATTCTCAGTACAAATTTGTGATTGTGTTTATACCACTGAAAAGCATATTTTAAAAGGTTAATTCCAAATGTACCCCTTCCCTATTGCTACCTCTTCTATTTAAAGTGAAAAGTGTAGCTGCTTGGTATCAGAACAAATAAAGGCCACACAGCAATGTGATAGATGTTCTTAAGTTTTAACTTTGTCAAGCACTCTCAGAGCACTTCACACTTCATTGGAAAGCTATAAAAAAACATTTACTATGTCAGTATTGAGGACTTTTAAAAAGAAGTTTCAAAACATCCCTAACAGAATTGTTAAGACAGCCATAGACATTATTCTGACTGTTCAAGCCCTGTTGCCTCTCTGTATGTTCAAAAATTAGCAGAAATTATGGAATGAAAAACTAAAGATGAGAATTGAGGAATGAAAGGTAATTAGACAAAAATAATTGGAGGCATTATATACAAAGCAGAAAAAGGTTGGAGATGCCTATACATAAGGATACAAAATGTACCTTTGAATGCATTAGTCACTGAGTCAAATTACATTAATAAGGCATTGTGATGTATTGGAAAGATTGTTGACTCCTGGAGTCAGAGGACCTGGGTTCAAATCTTGTCTTGGATGACAAGACTATGTTTGTGACACTGGATCAGTCATGCAAATCCAGGACCCCGGTTTCCTCAAAAATGTAAAATGAGAGACCTCTGAAGTCCCTTCCAGCTCTGATCCTATCTTTTTGAATTAGGAGGCTTCTAATTACCATTGAGTTAGCTCAACTAATTTTACTTTTAAATTGAGTTATTCTGGAATTAGTAGAAGTGATATTGTATCTCTAATATAAGGAAATGAACTATATAGATACGTATGTATATGTGTGTACATATATCTATATCGCTATAGATATTGAAAGCAACTGAACTAGAATATGTGAAGGATCTGATACACAAAAACCAACCCTCTCTAACTTAGTAGATAAGTCCTAGGAAATTTGCCTAAACTCATGGAAGTTAAATGACTTGTCTAGGGTCACACAGCTAGTCAGAGATAGGTTTGAACCCAGGTCTTCCAGAATCCAAGCCTATGATGCTATCCACTATTCTATATAGTATCTGAGTGGATGTTATATATTTATTAAGGACCTATTGTGTGCTTCTTGGGCTTTCAACCTTCCTCTTCCCCTGGATCTCTGCTCTTATTCTAGAGCAGATATTCCTTTAACTGTACTGACCTCCAAATTCTTCATTATCCTCATCTCCCATAATTAAAGCATGGCTTTGATTGTTACAGACTTACCCTCTAGTATGGAGATAGGGCAGATATACAAGTATGTTATGCCATATGGTAAATATGCCATAGTTACTATACTAAATTTATATTTAACATATAATGCCATATTTAATATATATACTTAATATTTACTATTCCATAAATTTACTTTATAATAACTATACAGAATAGAATGCAGTAAGAGAATGAGATACAAAAACTATCCATGTAAGTTCTGAAGAAGGAAAAAAATCTTACTTGGATTTAAGTCAGTTAGATGGTACACTGTATCTCAGAGATAGCAAGTAGTTATCCGTGATGATTATATACAAAGTCTCAGATTAATATTCTATGCATATATTGGTTAAAAAATAACCAGGAAAACAAGATCATATTCAAGAATAAAAGTTAGAATTTATATGGATCATTTGTAAATGAATATAAAAAGTGAAAAATATTTGGTTGAATGTGAAAATTAGCTGTCTTATAGGAACCATACCAAGTTTGACCTATTGTAGGTCCAAACCAGTACTGATAGGTTAAAAAAAGACTGAAATCAACAAGATGAAATTTAACAGGCTAAATGCTCTGTATTTGGATGAAAAATAAATTTAAAATGGGGGAGCTTGAAATGACAGAACTTTATGCAGGAGAAAAAAACTTAGTTGACCATTGAGTATGAGTATGAGCCAATAATGTGATATGGGCTGATGAACTATCAAATAGGCTTAATTTTTTTTTTAAAGGCACAGTATCTGTATTACAGAATCTAATGGTGTCTTTGTATTGATTAGACCACACCCAATACATTGTATCCTAGTCTTGGAATCAACTTATTTTAAGAATGTAGCAAGAGGAGGGTGGGTAATTAGGATAGTAGTAAGGGATCTGGAAATCACCACAGGAGGAAAAATTGAATCACCTGGAATATTTAGTCTCAGGAAGAGAAGACCAAGGTGAAAGAATGATAGTTACCCAAAAGCATCTGAAGAAATGTAAGGTAGATGAGGGAGTAGATTTGTTTTTGTAACTCCAGGAAAGAACCAAATAGTTGGGAGTTTATGAGGATGTCTATTTGATTCTACAGTTATCAGTTAAGCACCTGTTATGTGTCAAACTTTGGGCTACGTGCTAGGGATGAAAAGACAGAATGAAGTGATCCTTGTCCTCAAAGAGCTTACATTGTATTAGAGTTGCCAGAGAGGGATAAAATGAATGAAGAAAGTTAAATATAAAATATATACAAAGTAATCATTCCATAGAAGAAAGAATAATTGTGACTACAAGGGATTTGATTGTAAAACAATGAGTTGCACATCTCTGGAAATGTTCAAGTATAGGCTAGATGACTATTTCTTTTTTTTTTGGTGAGGCAGTCGGGGTTAAGTGACTTGCCCAAGGTCACACAGCTAGTACGTACATGTCAAGTGTTTGGTCTGAGGCCGGATTTGAACTCAGGTCCTCTTGACTTCAGGGCTGGTGCTCTATCCACTGCGCCACCTAGCTGCCTCTGGATGACCATTTGTTAAAAGCATTGTGCAAGGGATTTCTACACAGTGTATGGAATTGGACCACATCACCTACTCCCTTCCAACTCTAAGATTCTATGAATTCCAGGTAAAGGACATTCATCATCCTTTTTGAATTCTAGAACAGTTAGCTGCTAGCCCTGAGATCATTCTCTCTGCTTTTTCAATTTTTTTTACAGAAAATTGTTTTTGGTTATTTTTAACTTGATAATATGAGCATTTTTATATACAGAGAAAACAGAAGAAAGAGTTGCTCATAAACCCTATAGTTATATCACAAGTACTTTGCATTTTTTTCAAAATTATATAATAAATTCTACATGTGAATTAAAAAACTAGTCCTGCTTTTCTGCATCTCCTTCTTATTCATCTCCTATTTTCTTCTGGGGCAGCTAAGTGGCACAGTGGATAGACTGCCAGGCTTAGAGTTAGGAAGACCTGAGTTCAAATCCAGACTCAGACAGTTACTACCTCTGTGACCCTGGGCAAGTCACTTAACCTCTGTTTGCCTTAATTTCTTCATCTATAAAATGAGTATACTAGCACCTACCTCCCAGAATTGTGATTAAATGAGATAATATTTGATAAGTGCTTGGCACATAGTAAGTGCTATATAAATGCTAGCTATTGTTATTATTATTAACCTTTAAACATGGTACAATGACCCTCTTTTCTTTCTTTCTCTCTATCTTTTCTCTTTCTATCTTTTGTTGTTTCTTTTGTGCTTTCTATCTATTGTTACTATCACCAATCCCCTTTCTACCCACCAATTTAAAACCATCAAACAAAACCTTGCAACAAATTTGAGCATAATCAATCACAACACTGTTCAGACTGAGATAGACATTTTAAGACATGTTCTACATGTTGTTATTACCTCACCCACCTGACCTCTAAATTCATCATTATCTTCAACTCCCATGACCTACACCCTCCCTATACCACAGCTACACACAAGGGTGACCGGGCCACACTCTGTATCTGAGTTATCACTCACAAGTATTCTGTTTCCACAATCAAGAATTCTGAAATTCTCCTCTCTTAATGTAACCTTCTATCACTCCTCATACTTCATTCCTCCTTAACCTATGCTTTGTCCTTTGTCCTCAAGCTCTTGAAAGGTTTCCATGCCTTTTGGAGAATATCCTCTTCTAAAAATAAATCCATTTATGTGATGGCAGACCTCCTCCAAGCCACAGGCAACAAGGGCCCTTCTGTCTATTTCTATAGCACTCTTTAACTCCCAGGAAGAGGTGTCATCAACACATTGTGCACATCTTTCAGCCTCTGTAACTCTCAATAGAGCAGCTAGGTGGCACAGTGTATAGATAGAGTGCTGGGCCTGGAGTGAAGAAGATTCATCTTCCTGAGTTCAAATCTGGCCTCAGACACTTCCTAGCTGTGTGACCCTGGGCAAGTCACTCAACCCTGTTTGCCCCAGTTTCCTCATCTGTCAAATGAGCTAGAGAAGGAAATGGCAAACCATTCCAATATTTCTGCCAAGAAAAACCCAAATGAGATGATAGAGAGTTGGACATGACTGAAAAAACAACTTACCATCTTTCAGTGGCTCACTTAGGCCAATCCTTCTCAATGCTGACCTTGTAGTTGAACAATTCAGGTTTATATTCTTCTCTGCTCTTGCATATTATGACCCCCTTTCCTGTTTCTTTTATTTCCCTCCTTTTTAAACCTTAGCCATAATTTATCCCCACCAATTGCTTCCTCTTCTACTCATATGCTACTCAGTGATGATGGAGGAACTTGGGCAAATGTGCCAGTGGAGTTCACTACAAATTTATGTCTTCTAACCTCAAAGGATTCCCCACTAAAGGAAGACTATCCTTTTACTCTTCCCTAATTGATTATCACATTCCCCATTTCTATTGTTTCAAATGTTCCCTTCTTAGTCTCTTATGAAACCTTTCCTTGGCCTCTCTCTTGAGCTCTAGTTCTGCAGCACTAACTCCCTATTTAGTATTCACCATTGGATGCCCTCTAGGCATTTCAAACTCTACCTGTCTGAAAACAGAAGTCATTGTCTTTCCCCTAAAACCATCTCTTCTTATTTCTGTTAAGGGTACCACCATCATTACATTTACTCAAGTTCGCCACCTTAGAATCATCTTGATTTCTCAATTTCCTTTACCCCACATATCAGATCATTTTTCATATTTGTTGTGTTCCACGCATCTTCTTCCCTATACTCAGAGGGCCACCAGTGTAGTTCAGACCCTTACGCTTGTTGCCTGGACTATTTCAGATCTCCTTGTCTCAGGCCTTTTCCTACTCCATCCCGTGTACTACCCAACTGTTGAAGACATATTCCTAATGAAAGACTTGACCATGTTACTCCCTTCTTTAAAAAATGGCCTAGTGGCTCCTTCTTGTATTTAGGGTCAAATCAGGCTCCTCTGTCAGAGTTTTTTAAGTCCTTAATTTGCCTCCAGCCTACTTTTCCAAATTTATTAAAAATTATTCCCCTCCGTATGCTGTACAATCCAGCCAAATTGACCTGCCTATTCACTCACCACATTCTATCTTCTGTCTCTGTCCCTTTGCAAAGATTGTCTCCTACACCTGCAATGCACTGTCTGCTCACATCTACCTCTTAGAATCCCTAATTGCTTTTTAAGCTCAGTTCAAATGCCATCTCTTACATGAGTCTTTTCTTTATTGTACCACTGTTGCTAGTGCCTTCCCATCCAAATTACCTCGTATTTATGTATATTTTGAGTTTGCATATAGGAATCCATGTTTTCTACCCTAACAGAATGTAAGTTCTTTGAAGACAGGACAGTTTAATTTTTCTCTTTGTACTCCCAGGGACTAACATAGTATCTGGCATATAATAGGTGGTTAATAACAGATAGATTGATTCAGAATTGACCAACTGAAATAGATAGTGAAATGATAAGCTATATTTTTCCATAAGCACATATTATGTAAAGGATAAGAGTAAAAAAAGATTAAAACTACTCATCTTAATCAGTGTTTTACTTGGTAAAAGATAGTATTGTTGTTGGACAGTTATGTGGTATCAGCACAAAGTGAATAGTCAGAAACGTCCTATTTCTTACCCCCTGCATCTGGAATAAGTTAACCAACTCTTTGTGGATCCTGAGTTTTCCCCTCTGCCTATGTCTAAATAGATTAACTAGAAAGAACTTTCATGACAACCTATTAATTAATTTCAGGGATGTTTTGATAAAGGGGAAAACTCTAAGGTTTTAAGGCTTTTTAACTTGCAATATATAAGAAATCCAATTATTGCTTTTATTATATCATACTAACTATTCAGTGAACATTTCTGTGCTGTTTGGAGGTGTGCATTGTGTGCAGAGTCAAAAAAAGAATAAAAAAATAAAAAATAAGATTTTTTTCAAGTACTTACTAATAGTTTCTTGAATGAAAAGTTGGTTAATGTATGTAGATATCAGGGATTTGATACTCTTAAATTTGTGTTTGTTTTTTAAAATTCTGAAACTTTTTAAAAATAAATACAGGCTGCTGCAGAATCGGCAGAAGCACAGACAATTCGTTCTGTCCAGCAGACTCTGGCATCGACTAATTTATCATCCTCCCTTCTCCTAAACGCTCCTCTTTCCCAACATGCACCGGTGTCAGCATCTCCTCAGACTCTCCAACAGTCCCTTCCCAGGGCAATTGCTCCTAACCCCCTGACCATGAGACTGCCGATGAATCAGATTGTAGCTTCCGTTACTATCGCAGCCAACATGCCCACAAACATTTCAGCACCATTAATTAGCTCGATGGGAACAACCATGGTTGCCACACCATCTTCAACTCAAGTGAGCCCCTCAGTGCAAACTCAGCAGCATCAGATACAGTTGCAGCAGCAGCAGCTGCAGCAGATGCAACAGCAACAATTGCATCAGCATCAAATGCATCAGCAAATCCAACAGCAAATGCAACAGCAGCATTTTCAACACCACATGCAACAGCATTTGCAACAGCAGCAACACATCCAGCAAATCAGTCAACAGCAAATGCAGCAGCAGCTGCAGCATATCCAGTTGCAACAAATGCAGCAGCAGCAAATGCAACACATGCAGCACCAGTCTCAGCCTTCTCCTCGGCAACATTCCCCTGTAGCTTCACAGATAACTTCACCCATTCCTGCCATTGGAAGCCCCCAGCCAGCACCTCAACAGCACCAGTCACAAATACAGGCCCAGACACAGACTCAAGTATTGTCACAGGTCAGTATTTTCTGAAGATAAATATTGCAAAATTGATTTGCATTTATTTGGGAGGATGAGATGTAAGGGTAAACCATATTTGGCTGAAACTGTAAATTGTTGATGGTGGTTATGCAGGTGTGCATAACAGATCAATGGTCCTCTGAAGTGTCTATCAGATAGGCAATAAAGAACTACAATGTAGCTGTGTATCATCTTTTAGCTGACTATAAATCATTTGGTTTTTAAAAAAAAGAAAAGCTGTGCTCTTTCATGTGATGCCTTCTTAATTTATTCAAGCTTTACCTACAATATGTGAATCCAATGGTCTAATAAATATGGGACATTATGATGACTGTAGACTGGCCTTTCAGAGTTATATTATATAGTCCTTATTTCTCGAAGAATGAATGAATGCACTTCAAGGCAGTTTGAACTCATGAAGCCCTTAAAAGCACAGTTGTAACTACCTGTAAAATGAAGACTCTATTTCATACAAACATTTGTATGACGTGAATAGTTGATGGCATTTTTTTTGTCATGGAGAAAAATAATGTAAATCACAGACTTTTGCCAAAGCTATTATTTTTGTTCTTAAAACTCTTCAGAAAAGCAAACGCGAGTGATTAAATGTTCACTTCTATCTATAATTTCCTTAAATCAAACCACAGCATATGTTGTAACAAAATATGTATTACCACTGTTATCCCATTATGCCCATTCTAATTAGAAAACAAATGTGAATATTATATTCTGTGTTTGAGTGAGAAGTTTCAAAAAATAAAAACACTGTATTTTTAAAAAGGAAATGCACTTAAATGAAAACAGTTATTACAAAAGTTAAGATTTTAAAAATGCAAGAGTTTTTTTTTATTATACTGTAATACCAGTAGAATATTTAAAAGAAGCTCTACATCTGAATGATAAATGTAAATAATTTCTTTAAATGTTGTAAGTTTTCCTATCATGTGCTGTAAAATTTTCATAAAGGAGGCTTTAATGTAAACACTGGTAACACAAACCATTCGTTGCTACATTGCTTATTGTGTGTTTATGCTATTTTATACTTTTTTATGAGTTGATAGCAGCAATTAAGTTGTTTGTATTTTGCTTAACTAAAAAAAATGCTTTTATCTTGCTATAGAATAAACACATTTCAGTAAAAAATTGTGGATTGTGTTTTGATGAAAGAATCTATTTACTTTTCTAATAAAAATAGATGTCATGTTTCATTTGGGGTCTTTAAAATATACATGTACAAAGGTACCATACTAAGTTTCACTGGAACCCAAGTGTACTTTTCCATGTTAAGTAGGAAATGTTAAAATTAGCCTAGAATTAGAATTGCCTCATCAAGAACTTGCATTTAATTTTATTTTTTTTAAAGCATAAGATATAGTAAAAAATAAAAATAAAAAGACAGAAGTCATATTTAGTTCATAGGATTGGTACCTGCTGGCATTTCTGGTATTCCTCACTTTAATGTGGTTGTTGAATGCTTATTCTGGAATAGAAATACTTTTTTTCTGCACCTCCCTTCTTAGCCCCCCTTTTTCCTTCCCCTCTGGAGAAACTCTGCTATGAGAGCAGTATGGCCACTATCCCCAGTTGTCTTACATGATTAATTACAGCATCTGTCCTGTCAGAAGCTATAATGAAGAGGTCTTGATAAAAATTGCAAATTACCACTGGCAACAGTCTTAAACTGCTTATGATAAAATGAAAATTAAAAACAGCAAGTGTCAAGCCTGACCAGCATCCTAATCTGGAAAGAATGAATACGAGAGGTGGTGTCCGGAGCTACTACGTGTAAGAAAGACATACACAAATAATGGAGTATGGAGTCCTGAAAGATGCTATTGTGGCTCAAAGAATATTTACTGTATGTTATGGGTTATTAATAATGAATTCAGCTTTCAATATTTCATAATCCTCTGGTACTCCCATATTATGTACAAATATTGAACAGCAAGAGATTCTAATTATAAATTTATAGATTTCTTGCAGTGGAAAAATGTATGTCTAAATTGAAGCTTTTCATAAGATGTAGTAGTTGACGGGTATCAGTGCAGAAACAGTCTAAGGATGATACCTAATAACATCTATAGGGGAGTGATTATTTCACAGAAGTGAGATCTTCTTGCAATAGATATCTCACAGGCAGAAATGATTGTAAAAATTTTCTGTGGATTAAAACCAACATCACATAACAATGAGAAGCATTTTATATTCTGTTTTGAAACCTTTAGACAAATGTCTTCAAAATTAATTGCTAACTACATGTGACAGTAATTGTGTATTGTTCTGTAATTGTCATATTGAAAGCCCATGAAGTATCGCTTGGAAAAATTGTCACTAGTGATAAGAGTTAATTGCAAGTGAAGTCTGTTTTCAACAGTTTGCAGTTATAAGCAGGTGTTATTACATCCATTAAATGATTTTATAAATCTTGGGTTTTATCACATTTAAGTGCTACTAAACTACTGATAGCCAATTCCAAGAAAAACAGTTTAATTACTCCAGCATACACATACACATACACACACGTATTAATCACGAGACAGAACTGTACATTTAAAATGTCAAAGACTTGAATCATGAAAAAATAATCCTCAACCTTGTTACCAAAGTATATTTCACAAGATCCTCCAAAGCATATTGTGAAACAGCTTGTATTTCAATTTACACGTGTGACTGTTCCTATTCCTACAACTTAAGTAACTTGGTGTACTTTTTGTTACAGGTTAGAAAGAACTAGAAATAAACCTGATGATGAAAAATGGACATGAGAAAGACATAGTGTCTGATTAGTGTGACATTGAAATTCTGTACCTCTTAAGTGGTGCTTTCTCTCCTGACATTAATAAGTCTCCCCTCTCTGCCCTCCCCCCTCCTTCCATGGAAGATATTTTATTACTCTGGCTAACTATGTTCTACTATTGCATTAACCTATGCTGCCATATGATGAAAGAACATAAGGAGTTTTCATTTTTTAGCTGACATGGGGTCATTAGTTCCTAAGTGAAAGAACAAAAGCTTAAATGCCTTTATGCTGTATAATTTCAATGATATATTACCACCTAACTATAGAAGTTTGATGGTTTTCTAGACAGATGGATTCGGATCTCAGGTTTAACTAGGAGTCTTCTGCTGCCTCATTCAGTGGGCTTTCGACATCTGAATGGCTTCTTTTCCATTTCTCACTTCATGGAGTATTTTTCAGCACTGGACTTCATTCTAACCTTTCCCTCCCCCCCCCCCCCTTTGTTTGGCTTTTGTTTTGCAACAGCTGTTATTATCGTTTTTTGGTCAGCTGTGATTGCTGGAGGCAAAATAGGACCAGATGGTGTTTTGCTATGCATGAATGGAGAGTTAGAAGAGTTTGGATTGAATAGGCCAAGTTTGAATGGTGTCTATGCACCACCTGCCCGCGTTAGCAGCAGTATACACATCATAGTAGCATGATCTGTCTCAGACCTACTAGAATTGGATGGGAAAGGAGAGGGATGGGTTGGATTTTCTCCATATTTATTGATCTTCCATGCACTAACAGCATAATGAGGTGTACAGTCAATTTGAGTTAATTGGATATGACACAGCATGTACATGTAATCCATCACTCTAGTCTCCGGGTACACTTTATGGGTTTTGCTGCCACAGAAACACACACGCTCAGTAATAGCAAACATTAATGGGCTAAGTAGGCAGAAGTTAAATAGTGAAATTGTCTAGATGGTAGCCTTAGAAATATGTGATGGAAGTTACTGATGAGAACATACTTTAAAATATTGTTTACACCAACAAATAACATGAAATTAAGGGTATCTACCTACATTCTATCAGTTCTAATATAAATAAAATGCCCTAATGTTTGTTTAGGTAGCATGATATGGTGTAAAGATCTCTGGACTCCAATGATCTGTTCTTAAGTTCCAGTGCTTCTACTTAATAGTTGGATGACCTTGGGCAAGTCATTTCATTTCCCTGAGCCTCAGTTTTCTCATCTATAAAATAGCAAAAATACTACCTACTTCACAGAATTGTTGTGAGGAAAGTACTTTGTAAGCCTAAAAGGTGAGCAATTCATTTTATTCATTATCATTAGTAGCATCATTAAATATTTTGCACTTCAATGTGAATCCGTGATCTCTTCAATAATATATCAATAATGTGTCCCAAAAGTCTTAGGGTAGTTCTGGGGTAGTAAAGTTTAAAACTGCTCTAAGACTTTTGGGATACGATATATATGATCAATAATGTTAATAATAGCTGACATTTATTTAGTGCTTTAAGATTTTCAAAGTGCTTTACACATATTATCTCATTTAATCCTTAGAACCAACGGTCCTTTGAAGTAGTTGCTAAGCATATTATTACCCCCATTTTACAGATGAGAAAACTGAGACCCAGAGAAGCTAAGTGACTTGCTCATAGTCCTTTGTTTGTAAGCATCAGAGGTGAGAGTTGAATCTAGATTTATCTTAATTCCACATCCTGAATCCTTCCTATTGTCCCATGCTAAAATACAAATGATATGGAAAGATCAGCTGCCCACTGCAACTTTTGTTCATGTCTTTCCTTAACATCCTGTGCAGTAGTAATACCCAGTGTGCCAGTGGCGTTCCTCTAGATCTTTCTCGCCATCTTCTCGACAGCTGCGTTAATCATCATGATACTTGGACCAGAGGCTGGGCTATATAGGTCTCACCTTTTCACCCTGAGGTCCTCCTGTCTTGATCATTGATTGACTCACCTGGCCTACTCTTTCAGGCATGTTCCAATCATATTTCACTTCACTCTCTACTCTCAAGCAAACTTTGTGTTGACATGATGTGTGTACCCTGTGACCTTCTCTCCTATATCCCACCCTCCTCCAGTTCCAGAACCATGGTCAAGTCAACTCCATCATTGTTCCTAAAAGGGATGTGTCAAATAATCCTCCATGGGAAAATATGGCCCCACTCATCATATCTCTTTCAGAACCAAAATGCCCCTCCCTGGCTACCACTCCACTCTATGTGTTGTTTTTTCCCTCTTAAAATGTAAGGGCAGGGACTGTCTTTGTTTTTATATTTGTGTCCTCAGTACTTGGAAAAGCCCTTATATCATAGTACGTGCTTAGTAAATGCTTATTCCTTTATTTTTTCTTGACATAGCATAGATGCCAGTAAAGTATATGGGCTGTCCATTGGTTATCCTTCATTCTCGCTGCATGACTACTCCATCCCCTTTTCTCGACAAACATCTCCCTGGTGATATTTTACTTCCTTTCAACTGCACAATTCTTCATTAATATACATAGAAATACACTAGGAAAAATAATACATTTAGATAAGCATCATTTGCCACATTCAGGCACATTTTTGTGGTTGTTATAACCTTATTAAATAGAATTTTCCAAACAACATTCTTTTCATTCCCTCCCCAGGTAAACATAGCAAAACTCTACATTTGAGCAACAGGTTAAAAAAAAAAAGGCTTGTCCTTGAGTTCTAAGGTTCACTAAACTCAGATAAATCATCTTATACAAGTGTATGACTGTGTCAAATAGGAAAAAGTGAAACTTAGCAGCTAAAGAACAGTGGAGTCAGTGACACACACCTCTTCCTTCCTTCCTTCCTTATTTCCTTCCTTCCAAATTATTTTAGGAGGCAAGCATAATTGCCCATCAAAAACAATAAAAACAAAAAGGAAGGAAAGAAAGGAGGGAGAGAGAAAAAAAGAATGGAAGGAT